GTGACTCTAGTGTAGGATGGGAGGAACAGAAGGAAATATGTGGGTCCTTGTAGCTTGCTGATCTAGTCAGTCTAGCTAAAACAGCAAGCCAGGCGAGAGAGCTTGTCTCACAAATATAACAAAAATCAATAGAGGAAGACATTTGGTATTGATTTATGTTACACACACACACACACACACACACACACACACACACACACACTTAATTAGCATAATAGTTTGACATCTGTATGAGCCACAGGTGACATTTGTGTATGGGGGGCTATGTATGCAGTGTGTTAGTGTATCTATTACTAAATGGAAGTTTCTGTCCTGCTCAGTCTCACAGCCATTCAGTCCCAAATAAACACACGGAGACTTATATTAATTATAAGCTGTTTGGCCTATTGCTCAGGCTTATTACTAACAAGCCCTTACAACTTAAATTAACCCATAATTCTTATCTACATTTAACTACATGGCTTTGTACCTTTTCTCAGTAAACCATTCTCATATTGCTTCCTCTGTGTCTGGCTGACAACTCCTTTGCCTTTCCTCTTCCTAGAATTCTCCTAGTCTGGTCATCCCACATCTACTTCCTGCCTGGTCACTGGCCAATCAGTGTTTTATTAAATCAATATGAGTGACAAACCTTTACAGTGAACAGGAGCATATTTCACATCATATTACATGGGATATTTGCAAGGAAAGCGAACTCTCTCCACTAGCTATTTTGAAGTATTTGGTTGGTTGCTGTCGATTAGGCTTCTGTGCCATTAGAAGTTTCCTATCTTCCCATTCACCTGTCCACTGTACCCATTAACCATCCTTTTGCCATTCCCTTCTGGCCCTCTTTCCAGCTCTGCAAACACCATCCTAGTCTCTGCTTCTGTGAGATCAACTTTGTAGCTTCAATGTTTCTTGTCTTTCTATGCCTGACTCATTTTGTTTAATGTCATGTTCCTACATACCTTGCAGCTCGTGATTGCCTGAATGTGTAGGCACTAAGTCCATGTATATGCAGAGCCAACCTTCCATTTTGCTTGCTAAATGCATTTGCCTGCAATCATTTCCCATGTAACTAAGGCCAATGAGTACCATTTAAACAGCTCTGGAAACTGCAGTTGCCATCTGGATTGACAGATAAAATGTAGAAAAGGCTCCACCCATTCTTATCAAGATGAAGTCATTGAAAACTCTTGATCCTAGACTCCTAAGTAAGTCTGTCTTTACAGACCAAAGGTTTGAGTCACCAGCTTTGCTCAGCTCTTTTCTACGGAAACAAACATCCTTTCTCATCTAAAATGGTTTTTCCTCAGAGCCTGAATCCTATGCAAGGACTTCAGAGTAAGGAGAGAGCTGTCACATGCCATCAGATTGTCCATTAACTAAAACAAAAAGTTCAGGACGATGTGACAGAGTATAGTCATAGCAACCCTCTCTCCCTTATACCTTGTTGACATTCAGGCTCCGTTTGGCCCTAAATACCATGCACCTCAGTACCAACTCTATAGACACATTCAGTTTGTACAAGATCTTGCCCCACTCCACACCTGATGAGCTCATGATTCTTCTGCCTGCGTTGTTCAGGGAAAGACTGCATCTCCCTCCTCACTCAACCTCTCCCAACTCTGCAAGGCTTTCCATCTTTATCTTAGTTCTTAGCAAAATGGGGAACCTTTAGGGTGAAACATATTGCCTTCCAACACACTGGCTTTTGGGTTCCCCTCAGCAAATGTGATCACACAGCACTGGGGTCCATGGCAGAGCCACTGTGGTCTGGTGATGATCTCTTGGCACACAGTGTTAGGAATGTGGTGTCTCATGGGAATCTGCCTGGGCTCTACTTGACAAGTCAAGCATACCATCAGCATTTCTGGGACATTCCAAGCCTCCGATCCCATCTCTCTCACCCATATCACTAATTTCCAGATCATAGCCCAGACAGAAAAGCAGCTATTCGACACAGGATTGTCATGTAGTCACACAACAGAATTTCTCTATAGGAGGGCCTCTTTTGAGGTGCCCAGACACAGGCCACAAACAGCTAGCATTTTGTGTATAAGAGTCATGGGAAAATGAAGGGTGCAGTAACTCTTTACAAAACCTTGTGTTTAAGTACCTGTGGGCCTTGTGTGAGGGGTACCAGAGCATGTGTTAGACTTGTATTCTGTGAGCTGGCCTAGAAGAGGTTACAGCTTGAGGACAAGCCATGCCCATCCCATAGTGCCCTTGAGTATATTTGGTCTTAATACCAGCTAGGCAGGCAATCATGTTTGAAAAGTCTGTAATTCTAAATTCTCTTTAAAGAATTCAGAAGCCTGGTTGGGCCAGCACCTCAGAACAGTACAGTGCCTCTGCAGAAGGCATGTCCTCTGCCACATGCCCTCCATTCCTGTCCAGGGGACTCTGTTCCCTCATGTGCCAGCTGGCCTCTCAAGGCTATGGGGTTTACAAGCACCAAATTGAGAAGTGTACCAGCACACCCATGGGCTTGGAGGGGAGCTTTTAGTGAGGCCATCTGAAGAAGCTTAATCTAATCAATATAACATATTATTTAATTATTTAGAGTTTTTTTTTCTTTTTTTAAATTCAGGCTACACTGAATACTACTACTACAAATAATAAATAAATTCCATGGGACATTTTCAGGACCCAGGTAGTAAGTGTGAGCGAGTCCATGGGCTAAAACAGCAGGAGGTTTGCCAGCTCTCTGATTTTCTCTTTAGATTACACTGGCACTGCCTGAGCTGTCCCAGGACAGAGCCTGCCTGCCTGTCCACACAAGGCACACAGTATGGTCTAGCTTCACTAGCCATAGGCTTTTATGTTTCTGCTACCCAAAATAAGGGTAGAAGACCCAGCTGGAGCCTGGATGCAAAGACACTTAGGGACCCAATGTCACACTGAGGGAACCCCTGCCCATCCTTGCTCTTGGGGCTGCAGCATCTGGAACTCTCAAGTTAAGGCTGGGGTTTAAATACTAAGCTCCTAAGTTCACTGAAATCTAGGGCTCACTCAGCTCTTAAGGAGGCTGCTTTTCCAACTGATCCCAAATCTTGTGGGTGGGGGTGGGCTTAAGTCAGGCTGCATTTGGCAGAAAATGACTTCCTGTTTCTAAGAAAGAAAGGCTTATGGGGGCTCAGGAAAGGACTCCAGGAGCTTCTGGACTGCAAAAGGCTCTTGCAAAACAACACTTGGATGATTTACGTGTAAATGAATCAGAAACATGTGGATTGAATTTCCTTGCAAATACAGATGGGTTTAAAAATTAACGGAAAAAGTGTTTGGCAAAATACTTTTAGGTTTCTTTTCTTTTAATTGAATCGAAAATGTCAGGGGTTGGGGTAGAGAAGTAAGAGTAATGTGGGGGGCACAAGGCCTGGCCTCCCTCTGTCCATCTGTGCTAGTAGGGATCTTTTAAGGTACATTTCCCCAGACGTGATGGTTTAGATAAAGAGGGCCACTTTGTCCACGCATTAATCATTGCTAACAAGAACATTCATTGAAGTTTAGACTTGTCAATATAAAGAAAGGCTTTAACTCTGTTCTGTCATTGGTAGCCAAAGATGGCTGTATCTTCGGTTTTAATTTAGGCATCTCTCTTGTCTTGGTATATTTCCAAGTTGCCACACTGTCTTAATACTTCTATAGTGGCCCCCTATTTCTCACAACCTTTATTGTTAAGTGCATCCTACAGATCAGCATCTATTTGATATAAGGGAAAATATAGACCAGAGAACTTTAATAGTGCTCCCAAGGTCACTCAGCTAGAGGTGAGTGTTATTCTTTCGCCAAAATGTTATTGTTTTGTTTAAAAAGAAGAAAAGAGAAATATTGAGACAGACATATTGACTATAAGTTTATTATAAGGACCGGCAGAATGGGGAGACTAAGAAGAGGAACAGGGTAATGGCTGACCGCCATGGCCGGTCGCCATAGAGAGACAGAGAGAGCGCACAGAGCGCGGGACAGAGGAACAGAGGAACAGAGCGGGACAGAGAAACAGAGAGACAGGAGACAGGAGACAGAGAGAGAGAGAGAGACGGGGGAGAGAGAGAGAGAGAGAGAGAGTAAAGGGGCAGAGAGAGCGTAAAGGTGCAGGGGAGAGGAGAGAGAGAGAGAGAGAGAGAGAGAGAGTAAAGGGGCAGAGAGCCTATCTTTTAAAGGGGTCCTCTGCACCTGCGTGTAGACTTCTTTCCCATGGAACCTTGGGCTGACCAGGGTATTGCCTGAGTGGATTCCACCAGGTAACAGGGGCAGGCCAGCATAATGCCTGAACCTTTCAGTGAGGAAATTGTGTGCTAGGGTCAGAGTTAAGCTACCATCAGGTTAGACCCTTCCTGAGGTTAGACCCAGTCTCCACACTTCTATATCCAATTATATTCAAATCTCCAGTAACTCTGGAGTTCTACAGTTGACTGCATGTTCTGGCTCAGGAGGCTGAGGGTCAAGAAGACAATGACCCATCTCAGGGGGGACATACTAAGAAGTTGTCGGGCGAGAGGTGGAATTTTCTAAACACCACTGTTCAGCTCCTAACTCTAAACCCTCTGTAAGAATTTGTGTTGCCCTGAAACAGGTCTTCCTTTCACAGGCTACAATTTTTCTAGGGCTTATGCTCAGATCATTCCAGAAATCCCGAGAGAAGCCACAGTAGAAAAGGCATTCTGCAGTTTCAGGCAAATATGTTCTCTCCTCCAACTCCATGTTTCCTCCGGGCTTCATTTTCCCTGCTGGGGCTGGCATCCCTTTCCAGCTTGGGCTGAAGAGAAGGCCCTCAGATGGTGACTCTGTTGCTTAATTTTCATGCTAATCCAGAACATAAGGAGAGGCTGTAGAAACCTTTGGCAGTTACAGCGGCCCACTTCTTTATTTCATATTTTGGATGTGACGGGAGGGAAGGCAGAATGACAAACTGAAAATTCTCACAATTTTGCAAAGTCTGAGGCTGTGACTTTCCCAATGGTATTCAAGCTATGCAACTTTCCAGTTATGTCTTAAAATTGAAGTCAGATTTGGGGGAATGTTTAGGATGCTCTGTTCTGTTAGAGAGACATATACATGCTGATGCAATTTTCAATAAGGTATATGTATATTTTATGACAAAATTCATTCCTGGGAAGATGCAAGGACATCTGGTTAATATTCAATCAACGTTGTCATGTGTGGGCTGTTTTTATTGTTCCCTTGTCCTTGGCGAAATGTTTGGGTGCAAAACCATTGACTTCTGTCTTTTCTTTTCATAGCGATATCTGGCATGATTGTTCCTCCCATGTGAAAGAATTGCCTTGAAGAATTTTATTAATGAAGAGGTTGGATTCTGCTACGAAAGTAATCTGATATGAGTCCCAGAGTGGAACTTTTAACTCAGGCCTTTTTAAGAGGAATCACACAATAACTGCAGATTTTTAAACAAAATCACCGACCTTGCAAATATTGAAATTGGAAAGGGGTCTGCCAGAGCAGGGTGTTGGTTAAACTCGTACCCCCAAGTATCTGGGGGATATATTTATTCTGTATTGATAAAAGCAAACCCACAGTTCCTTTTCTTTTTCTTTTTTTTAAGCTTAACTCTGCAATCATTTGTCTTTTATAAATCATAAAGCTACACATAAGGGCCACTATAAATAAGACCCCATGTTTTAATTTATGATGTTTTTAAAGCTGTGTGAGGGGAGAATGAAGTGGTGATATTTACAAAAAAGCTAAAAGAAAAAAAAAACAAAAGAAAACAGGGAAAAAATTAAAAAAAAAAAAAAGCTTGTATGGGACAGAATAGGAATGCCAGTTAGATTTTTTAGAAAACTAAGGGTCGGCTTTTGCGCCTTAAAGCATATCAATGGTAGTTAGCTCAGACAGTGCATTTTCAATATCTAACTTAACATGCCACCCCTTAGCAGTTCTGCAAGCTTCCTTCTCTGTTTTGTATGGTTGTCTTAAGTAACTGTGTAAATAAATGCACCCTGGAAAGTTACCAAGCGACATCCATGATCACATTTTCCCCTTGTACTCAGAAAATCCAGTGCCTCTAGACAGATTGTTAAAAAAAGAAAAAGAAAAAAGAAAAAAAAAAAAGCAAAACAAAACAAAACCCTGCATCTTTTAACCCGATCTCATTCTTTAACTTATGCTAACTTCTTCCGAAGCCAGTGGCCTCTGAGAGTGGAGTGGCGCGGCGCATGCCCTGAGTGAGTAACTCCTTCGAGACTTCTGGAACAGGGTCCAGGCACAGAATTCCATATATGCCCTCTAGTTTACCAAGCGGAAATCTCACTCACACGCCACCACCCAGAGATTTGAGCTTACTCCTCCTAGAATCTTAAATATCCAGGCTCAAAAAAAATTAAAAATAAAAATAAAAAATAAATACACCACAGACAAAGCAAACTGACAAAGGCGAGTAGGAAGGCTGTTCTGTTCGAGTTTCTGAATCACACTAGCAAGACCCTGGTGTGGTTGTAAAGTTATAAATTCGATCAACCAGTAAAGTGCTTTGGGGTTCAGAATGAAAGGAAACTGGGGAAGAGGAAGAGAGGGTGAGGCCTCGAACTCAGCTTTCTGTGGGAATTTTTGCTTTCTACTGGGAAGTGTTCTTAAAAGAAAGAATCCACAACAAAGATTCAGCCGGGGAGGCTCCGAGGGGCACCGGCCTGGCTGGCTTTTCTTTGCCCTTCTGTTTCTGTATGTAGTTATAAATACTGTAGATTTTTTTGTGATTTTTTTTTGCCAAAATTGTTGTTTTATTTATACATTTTAATGTCTTAAGATGGTTTTCGAGATCACACACAAAAAAAGATTTTACCGCATATTTTGCAAAGAAATAAAAAGCGCACTACCTTTAGCTTGCACATACTCGCAAAGTGAACTCAAAGGCTTTTTGTTTGTTTTAATGGGGATTTTGTAAAATATCCATATAAATAATGTATTTATCTTTGGAATTTGTACATTGCTTTTCTCTCGTCCCATTCCCAACTCCCAGTTTAGTTTTTTTGTGTGTGTTTGCTTTGTGAACAGTGAGTATAGTTTGGTCACCTATGGTTGTATTGGCTGTTTCAATGTGATTTTTAAACAATTCATTTATAGGTATTTTTAGTATTGTTTCAAACCATGCTTCAATTTTTTTTATTTCTACCCAAAAGCCATTGTCTATTTTTGTATTATTTGTAAGTTAAGAAGTTTTTTCCAATATATGGCAAAAAATAGTAGCATATTATTCTTGTAGTATTTAGTTCTGTAGATTTAAAAATAATGTATCCTTTGCTTTGGAAGCATACAAAAATGCTGTTTTACTCTATTAATATGCATGGAATCTCTCCCTTTGGAGTGGCGCATTTTGTGCATTAAATTTGGGGGAGAAACTTCATAGCGATCAATGAACATACTTTCTTTAAGTCTGCTTGTATATTCTCTGTCTTTCACATAAATATAAACCAGCAGATTGGATGCCTTAACAATGCAAATCATATCCATTTCACCTGTACATTGTACTGTGCACCCCAACTGTCAATCATCACTAACATTTAAGAAAAAAAAGAAAAAGAAGAAAAAAAACAAAGAAATTGAAAAGCACAAAAGAACTGTTTTGTTACTTTAAGACAATGTTACTTTTTCTAGTAGAGCAAGCGATCATTAACAACGATGCTGCAACTGTGCATGCCCCGTATGGATTTCAATGGTTTTCACTAGACTGTCAGAGTGCGGATTTTTATGGGTTGGGGAGGGCATGGGAGGGAAGTGGGGAGGTTGGTAAGGGAGGGGAGGGAGGAAAGCTGATTTTTCATGGTGAGAAATAATAATAATGACGACTGATGATAATAATAATAATAATAAAAAGAAACTGGAAAAATATAAGCAAGGTTTAGCATTGCTTCTCCGTACTCAGAAAGGTTGTCTGAATTCGTGTGGTAAGCGCTGACCTGAAGATGTCTAAGGTCTAAAGCCATATTTTGTCTGGTAAGCCAGACACCAGTCTGCAAAGGAACGAGCAGTGAGCCGGTGAGATGTCCGGCTCAGACCCTGACAAAAGACGCCACCAATCTGTTAGCCATGTGCCATGGTGAGAACTTTACTGGAAAGCCCAAAGAGCCTTTAAAAAGAAAATGTGTATCCTTTGTGTTTTGTTGTTTATGTTTGATTAGATGACAGAGAAGCACTCTGGTTCTGAGAACCATTTTCTTCTACACAAAATGTTGTTTTCAAGTCCCTTTACGACATAGTCCCTCCCTCCCCCCAAATACAGAATATGGCTTTAAAAAGAAGACGGAGTAGAGAATTCAATTCAGATTTCAGTTTTGGGGGAAGAGTCCTGCCTCTGGATGACTGGATATGCATATGCCATGCCCGGCTTCACAATGTAGGATGCAGCTTCTTGAACTCATCTCTCGATCTACTGACCTTTTCACCTTCTTATCAAAACTTTTTCAATAGACACACACTGTACAGTTCAATTGTTAGAGCACTTAACTACTGTAGAGATTGTTATAATTTTCCTTTTCTTTCTTTTTTTCTTTTTGCAAAAAAAAAAAATTCAAGCTGTAAAAACTTTTCAACTTTCACAATATTTAATTAAAGTTACTTCCTGTCTGTGATGGCAGTTCCTAGTGGCGTATTCATTTCTCCTTGGTAGAAGAGCCAAAGATCGATGAACTGCAAAAGGCTTGGGCTTGCTATTATTCAGGCCAGTGTTGACACCCAGAGAGAATTAGCCTAGGCCTGGGACACCCACTTCCTTTCTTTGTAGGTCGTCAGGGGTTTGCTAATTTGGAATGCAAATTGAACACACACAGCGTATTGCTGCCCTCTGCTGGCATGAGCCAGGTGTGCATTTGCACGTGCTGGCCCACTGAGGAGCCAAGGGCCCCCATTCCTCTTATCAGTGAACAGTGAAATA